GTCAGCACAATAAATCAAGTCAATCAACTCCTCGACTCCCCGAAATGAAAACAGAGTTCCACTAAATTTACGATAATATCTCAAGCTAAAAGAATATATTTATAGAAGCCGCATAGAGGAGGGCCCCGAGGGTATGTATCTTGTGGCGGCTAATGGAAATGACAGTTTGTGGTTCCCAAGATGTATGCGAGCAAGTGCAAATTTTCCCAGCTCTCTCCAGATTCATAATTAATGTCTGAAAGTCTGTTCCGACTTGGTCTATATCTCTCTTGGTTTCTTTGCGACGTACACATGTCTGGAGGTGCCGAAAGCGACACAGAAGATGACACGCGATCATCGGAGAGCCGAGTGCACTTGGATCTGAACCTCAATGGACTTTTTAAATTTGTTGGCTGCCAGCCAGACGGCTGCTAAATTCTACTGCTGGAGTCCTCAGTTTGTTGCCCTCTCCCCCGAAAGATATTCGAGTTACATAATCAAGCGATCGTTAGAGTTCAGCTGCCCCGGCTCGCTCTACGAAAATAGAAATATTATTCAAATATATCAAAGTGCATTTTTGATAGACGCACTCAGCTGGGTGACCCAGCACCAGGCCACCCCTGGAAAATTCTTCAAAAGTGGCGCAGTTCGAAAACCAACCACCATATCGAAAAACCTTTCAGTTATGATGGAAATGGTGCGACACTGTCTCGCCTATTCTGTTTCAAAGTCAATAAATAAAACATTTGCCAAAGTTGCATAATTGAAAGAGAGCCCAGACCGAATACCGAGGAAAATGTTTCCGCTTTTGGGAATCTCAGAGTGCGTAACGCCTTGCTACTCAACTGAAGGCCCGATGCAACCCCTGATAAATCCTATTTGTTCTGCCATCCCCTATGGTATGTGGCATGTGTGGCACTCTTCAAACACAAATAAAAAACACACCAAATGTTGTCAGCTGCAGTTGCTGTGGGTGTCAAAATATACAGAGTTGCAGAACTATCTAGCCGCATTATCTTAAATGACCAGAAAGTCTGGTTAGCTTGGTCCAAGTCTTAAGAAACTTCTCAGATGCTTTAGCTTACGCACTTCCATTATAAATATTTGCACCCACCTAGACTAAATTCTGCAGGAGAGTTAAACACAAAAGGAAAATGTGGAAGTTTGTACTTGAGTTGGCCAAGTGTGTAGGCTTGCGACTCCCTTTCGCCCCTTTTAGGCCACTCGAGGTGGCTGCTTCTGTTTGTTGCCACTGTTTGCCCGGCCACTCGCCCGTTGCGGTTCCTGCCACTGCTTCCCACTGCGGCTTGTTTACAGCTTTGCGGCTGCCCCAGTGTGGCATAAGCCAACCTGCTGCTGCTGCATATTTAAAGATGTCAACCAGCCAACAAAAGGTGGCAGTCCAATGACGAAGGCGACAGCCATTAGCAAGTGAGTTGCTGAGAGAAACATCTTTGAGTTTGCCGTCCGCTCCCAGCCCCTTTCCTCCTCCCTGGGCGTATCTGTATCCGAGGGATTGCCGACGGAGTGGAGTACCAAGGGGGTCGGGTCGTTGCAGACGCTATTAATTGTTTCTTGTGGCAGCAGCAGCTGCAGCTGAGAAAATGCGTCTCCAAAGCCACACAAACAACACAAGTTTCGCTCCGTCTAATAACTGAAAATCGTGACTTTATGTCTGCACTTGAAAAAGAAGCTACAGAACGCTGAACACAATACTGGTATCCAAAGCTCTCTAGTTATCCAGCGGATTCCCAAAGGGCTGGCTACACGACTTTTAAGAATGAACACGTTCTCCGGCGTATCGCGTTACCAGCGTTTCTAATGGCGGGCGACATTTTGACATGGCTTTTAGTTATGAACAAAGCCGGTGTTGATTATGGTCTAAATGGCAGGGTGAGGCATCCCAAAAGACTTTCCACCAGTGGATCTTGTTGCTTCAAAGTCTCTAAGTAAAGTTTATTTTCCTTAAAACTTTCTTATATGCGAGTATTGTTTACCTTCAATAAACTGTTTCTGATTTATAAACAAAGCAATTATCGAAGAATATTCCCCTTGTTGGGGCAGTGATTAAAGTGCATTTTGTGGAAAAGTGCATTGCCGGAGATTGTTTGTGGTGTTCTTAGAGCGAAAACAATATAAACATGTGGAATCCATTTTCATTTAGCCCTGACAGAGAAACCTAGAAGGCATAAACATTCGCCATCGACTCCGCCAACACGATGGGTCGGTGAATATGTTTCTGATTCGACTTTGGCACTCTGTTAGTTCTCCACTCCTTGGCCAACTCAATGGCATATAATTATGCTTATTACCAAGCATTCAACACCCACTCGAAAACCTCAAGGCAGAAGGAAATAAGAAGTAAGCAAGCTATGGGCTATAAGACCATAAAATACCTGGTACTTTATGATTCACTTGGCTTTACCTTTTTTTAATATATACTCATGATACTGGGTATTAAGAAAATACACTCTTAGGAAGCATTAACTCATTCTTGAGTGCCTGAAGAGGTGGCAGCATCTCGGCCAAGTCAACTCTCGTAAATTTAGCACAAGCCTCAGATTTGGGTTGGCTGGCTATCTGAGAGATACATTATGTGTCTGCTGGATGCGGTTTTGTGTTTTGAATAGCGACGAGTTTCTTCGACGGATTCAGAAGCCTACCAAATAGCTGTGGCGAATTTATGGAAATTCTCTGCACTTAACGGCTTGTTAGGACTGGGGGGATAGTTCAAGAGGTTATTGGGTCGAGATGAATGTGAAAATTGCCTGACCTCCTGTAACTTGACGAGTCTTTGGAGGAGAACAAAGTGTGGCTAACGGAGAGGCATGCAGCATCTCTGTCCTTTTGTTGGTAAATAACTCAAATGCCAAAGGGCCAAGCCTGATTGCAACTTCTAACCATAAACGGAGAAACTCCGAGCTGGCAATAATAAAAGCGAAAGATATTGCATAAAAGGCAACTGGCAAATGCCCAAAATGGTCACAGCCGGTAGAGCCTTCTCCATGTCCATATACACTACCTTGTTCCCATCCAAATTGCACTGAGAGAAGGAAGTCCCAGAATAAGGAACCATAAGGATTTGAAATAAAAATGTTTATTTTTTTAAGTGTTATTTGTAGATTCCCCTTCAGAGGCAGGCTTTCAAAAGCTGTTGCCATGACAAATGCAACTCAAGTGATACATTGTACACACGGCAGCCACAGTAGCAGCAGAAGAATGCAATGCAAACTAATGGTCGGTTGGAGGCAGGGCTGGGGGGCCAGATGCAGGACTTGCCCACTGCATTATATATATTTGTACAGATGCCATCAACATTTCCCCTCGCCATATCCCCGCCATACGGAAATGTTTTGAGACTGGTCCAAAACTGCGTGGGCTGCTGGAGGTGGCCGGGAAGCAGGGCGCACAGGTGAATGCCACCGAGGCAATGGAGAAATCAGCCATCCACAGTGGCAGCTATTATGAGCAGCGCACACATAGCCCGGCTCATTCAGTCTGCCACCAAAGGTCAAAGACATTTGGCAGCTGTTGCTGCCGCTTCTGGTGCCGATTCTGGTTCTGGTTCTGCATCTGTGTGAATCTCAGCATCTCCTCCCGGCAACAAATCAAAAATGCGTACTAAAGATGTAAATTCAATTTGTGCAACGAGGAGCCAACGAGGGGGAATGAAATAAATAAAGAGACGTCGGAGGCGCCCCTTTTGACATGCGACACCTGAGACAGATGAGATGCCAGCCAAAGATACGGATGCCATTTCCGACCCATAACAAGTTCAACAGTAGTTCTGAAAAGATACAGTTGAAAAGAAAATGGAAACAAAAAGATACCACAATTATATATTAAATTAAATTAAACTTTTATTTCTTACTAACCTTAAACATCCACCTATGAGATCCCAAAAATAAAACGATTGTCAAAAACTCATCTCGACAAAGACTAACTTTGCAGACATTTTAAACAAAAAAATGCAAATATCATAATACGAAAGTAATTTGAAATTTTTTCCCTCAACCTTTGTATGTTGTTTTCCTGAGCAATGGCTGGGAAAAATGTCTTGACGAAAGAAAGGAGCCACTGCCATCCCGAGACATCCTTCTGGAGACTGGCATGCGTATTTAATTTGCAGTAGGAAGCCCGGCAACTTCATTTGTCTGTCAGCTTTGTTTTTATTGTCCTTTTTTTGTATTCATTTAATACAATTGTTACTCGTTCTCCGCCTTTTCTGGGCTGACTTATTAATGGCCAAGAGCAACAACTGTGCGTCGGCAGCCGTAAGATACATTTGTATCTCGGGGCTTTGTCTGCAGGTCCCCCGTTCAGAAGTTTATGGTAGGACTTATTAAAAAGTTAGTTCCATTGCTTGTGCTTTTTTATATATATATTTCTTAATACTTCTTTCTTAATTTGCCTCCTTAATCAGTCTTATGACTAATTGCGCCAACTTCAATGGAAAGCTCTGGAAAAATGTTGGTTTTTCATCAGGACTTAAGAGGCTTTCTTTTAATTATTTTTTGTCTGAGTACTAGTCTTCTACATTGTTTTTCCTTTATGAAATAAAATGTTTATTTAATTGTAGAACATTCATGGACTGCAATCAAGAATTGCCATATAGACTTCTCAACTACAATGTTTACAGCCCTGACTGGTACTCGCCAAACAAAAGTATCTTTGTTGTACGACACTCGCAATCATATGCAAATTTATGGGCACGAATCATAAAAAAATTTACTGCAATCACCAAGTTTTTAAGTTGTTGTTTTTTCTCTTCTTGCGTTTATTTTTTATGTTTTTTATTGCAGCAGGGGCTTGGCGGCCGCAGAAAGCGACATGTTCATTAATTTATAAGCGTAAAATCATTTCAAAAAGTATCTTGCCAATCACGCCTTCGGTTAGCGGAGCCAGGAGGCCGTAAAGTCCATAAATAATTATTTTTATAAAATATGGATATCCACATATCCATTCCATATCATTGTTGTTTTATGCAGTTTTTAATAACTCTCCCCCTCTCTCCATTTCAGGCAAATTGCACCCGCCTACACAAAGGTCAATGGCGGCACCGCCATCCCCCTGCCAGCCACCGTGATGGTGCAGCGTCGCTGTCCGCCGGACAAAGTGCGTCCGCTCCCGCCCACACCAAATCATACGCCATGTGAGTACATCCCCGGCCCCCTCGGGGGTGTGGGAAATTTATTAAAAAATATTTTAAGCCCTCAACCACCCGGTTTTCGGTGGGTGGATGTGTGTGTGCCAAAGGGAGCCGTTGTTTACGGGCGGTAAACAAATTTTGGTCCCGGGATACGGCAAACAACCCCCAACGATCCGGAAAAGCCGGGACTAGCTGCACTTAGTCGCCCACCTCTCCACCGGGAAACGGAGCTTAGCCCTTTCGAATATGCTCTCCGGGTGGGACCGGGATGACCGAGATTTTGTCATTGGATGGGAGCAAGGACTCCTGTTTTTTCTTTGTATTTCCACTGCTCCTCTCCCGTAATCAAAGCTCCCCTGGGATACATTTGGGGTTAGAATTCCATGTAGGACTGCCATTTTTTACATGCCGTTGATTTGTGGAGAAGGTAACTGAATTCTTCATTTAATTAGGGAGCTGGGGAATACTTCAGAGGTTTAGGTATTGAAAGCTTTAATTAAAGGAGAGAAACAGATTAAATTATGTAATAGATTATTGACTCCAAACATCTTCCTTATATAGAGAGGACGAGAAAGATTCTCAATATAAAATTGAGTTGCATTGACTTTAAATCATTCTGAGTTCCTGATTCATTCAGTTGTTATTTATAGATCATTTTCACCCGCCAGAATGATTTATTTTACAAATTTTTGGATGGTGTCTGCGCAGGCATAAATCTGGGAACTGAGAACTGAGTACTGGGAACTGGGAATTGGTTTTCGGGACGCCTCCCAATCTGTTATCAGCCTCACGCGAGGCAATTAATTAGCCTTAATGTCCGCATTGGCCTTTCGCATTGATTTATATGCTGGCACTCTTTAGGAACCCGACTCTCACAATACTGACTTTCTGTTGTTCCACCTTTTCAGCGATACCGGGCCTGGGGAAGAGCGGAAGTGATTTCCATTCAAGCCGTCCAAACAGTCCGCCCACCAGCAATCACACGATCCAGAGCCTCAAAGGCGGCAACAACAATAGGTGAGCGCCACGAAAAGTACTTTATTTTCCCTTTAATTAATAAATATATTTGTGCTTTTGTAGCCTGCGCCCGCCGAGCGTGAAGAGCAATCACCAGAGCGGGATTCCCTCGCCGAGCAGTCCGCAAACCGCTCCTGTCCAGAAGCACTCCATGCTGGACAAACTGAAGCTGTTCAACAAGGAGAAGCAGCAGAATGCAGCCAACGCCGCCTCGGTGGTTAGCAAGTCGCAGATCCAGTCGAAGCGAACCTCCTCCTCCTCGGGATTCAGTTCGGCCCGTTCCGAGCGCTCCGACTCCAGCCTAAGCCTGAACGATGGCAGCCACGGAAACTCCCAGCTGAAGCCACCCAGCATCAGTGTGGGTGCCCAGAAGGCTCCGCCGCCCAAGACCAAGCAGTCTAAGCTGCTGGCTGCCCAGCAGAAGAAGGATCAGGCCAACAACAAGGCCAGGCTGGACAAGAAGGAAAAGAGCCCGGCGAGGTCCTTGAACAAGGACAAGGACGAGTCAGGCAACGAGTCGCGCAGCTCCACTATGGGAAGAACCAGCAAGAGCTCCGGCCTGGCCCGGGGAATAGGAGGTGTTGAGAAGAACACCCCCAAGACGGCCTCCAAGTCGTCTCTGCACTCCAAGTCCGACTCGAGGAGCTCCTTAAAGGCGCCCCAGCTTCTGCAGAGTCCCAGTGGCACTGGCTTGCCTAAGCCCATTGCGGCTATCAAGGGCACCAGCAAGCTCCCACAATTGGGGGCAAATCCAGCACTGCCAACCCCCGTGACAGAGCCACCTCCTCCAATGCAACCGCAAATGTTGAAGCGCGAAAACAGCAACATATCAGAGAACATATCCCAACCGGGAATGGGTCAACCACCCGTTACACATATCCTCAAGGCGGCAGCTCAACCGCCACCTCCACAACCCTTCTATGCCAACAGCCAGAGCGGCTATCTTAGTGAACCCAGCACTCCACAGCATAGCTCCGGAATCTACGGCAGCAGTCGCCTCCCACCTCCCAAGTCTGCCCTGGGTGCCCCACGGAAACTGGAGTACAATGCCGGACCCCACATACTGGCCCGACCACCGGGAATGCAGCGACCTCTGGTCAATTCTGCTCCAAACACCCCCACTGCCTCGCCAAACAAGTTCCACACCATACCCTCCAAAATCGTAGGCACCATCTACGAAACCAAGGAGGAGCAGCTCTCCCAGCTGCCACCACTGCCCCACCAGGAGCAGCAAACTTCGGTGCTGCCTATGCGGCCGCTGCTCCGGGGCTACAACTCGCATGTGACCCTGCCCACAAGGGGCGCTCGCGGTGGCCACCACCCCCACCAGTCCTACCTAGACTTTTGCGAATCGGACATTGGCCAGGGCTACTGCAGCGATGGGGATGCCCTGCGCGTGGGTAGCTCTTCTGCGAGCACACGCTTCCAAGACATCGACAACGGATACCTCTCAGAGGGCAGCAGCGGGCTGCACGGTCCAACCTCCTCCGGCGACGGTATCTCCCACGGCAAGCACTTCCTTAGCATGATGCGGGCACGAACTCAACTGCCCACAACCATCGAAGAAAGGTGAGTTAATTTTAAATAAGAAATATTATATTAAAAAAAAAAATAATCGTATTTATTATTGGTATATTTGACCAAAAAAGTAACATTATTCGCCGGTTTGGACTTCCTTACCCCCACCAAGCCAAAAAGTTTGTGTCAGTACTTTTGGTTATCGCTTGCTTTCTCGGCAGGTCCCATGACTCATCAGAAGTCCACAACTCCTCCATTCATCCACTGATTTGGTCGGTGGATGTGCCACTAATGTTGCCTTCACTGACACCAATGAGTCAACGAGAAAATGCCGTTTCTCAAGTGTCGCCTTGGCCTCTTCCAAGAAGAAGATTGTCGCCTGAAATGTGGCGTGTTCGCCTGCAATAAAGCGGAATTTGAATAAAAGAACTGCCTGGTCGATTGCGACTCTTACTTTAGGCCTCAGTGAACTTGTTATGGTTTTTGGGTGTCATTTGGCTGCGTTGTTTCATGTGGTTCTTACCGCATTCTTTTCATTTTTTTTTTGATGCCCCACTTTTGGTGTCAGGGGCACCAGCTCGTCGAGTGGCACTCATCATCCTGTGAAGCAGTTAATTGCGATGGCAGTCACTTGACTACCTTAACAACTTCCTGCAGGATACCCAAGTGTATCCACTTCAGAAAGCCGAGACCAGGTCCCCAGCTCGTATTGCCAATTTGCATAAAATCCACTCGATGTCGGCTCCCAGGTCACAGGGGCAAACTCGTGTTGCGGCATGTCAGATGTCGTTTACCAATTGTCAACAGCAGACGGCTTGACAATCGACAATGCTCACCTGTCATCAGGAAATGTTCGGCACAGAATTGATTCACAAACAGGCTCTATCCCATGGTTTCTATGGCATCCCATCGAGTCTGTTTAATGGCGAAAATACTGCTTATGTGCTATCAGGTTGCGGGAAGGTAGGGAGGTACGGGAGCTGAATCTTTATGTTTGGTTTCCCAATTTAAATTTGTATAGAAATTAAATTAAATCTTAAATCTGAATCAAAGATTAGGCTAAAGGTCGATTCTTCCGAATGGCTGAAGGCCGATTAAGTACGAATGAAATGACACATTCCCAAGAAATTCCCAAGAAAACAAAACGCATTAATAAGTTTAATGTGAATGGAAATATATAAATTGTTTCCGCCCGCTTATCAATGAGTTCGTTGGTCATAATATGTATGTACTAATACTATAAACAGCTATATTAGTATAAGTTTCGTAATTTCCCAAAATTATTTATTATTAATAAGTTTAATGTGAATTGGAATATACAAATTTTTTCCCGTCCGCTTATCAATGAGTTCGTTGGGTATAATATGTATGTACTAATACTATAAACAGCTATATTAGTATAAGTTTCGTAATTTCCCAAAATTATTTATTATTAATAAGTTTAATGTGAATGGGAATATACAAATTTTTTCCCGTCCGCTTATCAAAGAGTTCGTTGGGTATAATATGTATGTACTAATACTATAAACAGCTATATTAGTATAAGAAATTATCTATTATAATTGCTATGAGTACAAACGTAAATAATTTTGGGGAATTCCGACACTGCTACTACGTTATTTTATTTTATTGGTAAAATTTGCATTTCTTCGGAAGATCTATGTATAAACAACAAGCAAAATAATACATATATGTACATACATGTATATCCTCTTATTTTTTCGCAAAAAAAAAAGAATACAGGATCTTACACTAAGGATACACTAAAGGATCCTTACGCTCTTACTTTTGATGAAAAATTTCAAGTGCTCGAAGGAGCGTATTTTCATCCCCCAAGAAAACAAGAATTCACTTGCGATTCTAGGAAACTGTGACAATTAAAAATATATTTATTTTTTTTTATACATATTTTTGTGCATATTTTTGTGTTAAAAGACAAAGTGTCTCTTCTATTTTTTATAAAATTACAATTAAAGATTCATTCATATTCATATTCATATGATTCATACGTTTTTGTTCGAGACGAAAAATGTTCCTCCACCCATTTTGAAGCACCCAACACAACTAGGGTAGCTAGAATTTCCTGTAATACGGCTTTCAAAAATTTTTTGCCTAAATTGCTCCCCATTCCAAAAAGTCGTTCTCTGATACCGTTGGCATTAACACTGGCGATTTCGTTTTTATACATCCAGTAGGTTCTGTTGGCCTTTTCACGAAATTCTTTTGGGAATGAAATCAAATGGTGATTGTTCTCGTAGAACGTAATCCATTCGGGAACATGTTGCTGTTTGGTTTCTATAGGCACTGACGGATCTTCGAAGATAGTCTGGAGACGTCTAAACTCATTGATGAGAGCATTATACTCATCGTCAGATAGCTGAGTCTGGGACTCTTGGGCATGTCCTGGCATTACAAGCGCTGCAATGATTGCCAGAGTGCTGGAAACAAAAAATAGAAATTAATAATTGTCCCTAGTGTTATACGGACTATCTTACCTCGACAAAATTAAAAAATTCATCTTATGCTGCTACTCTTGGCGTTGTCTTTAGAATGGTTTCACAAATATCACCGACGGGCATTATATAGAAGACTTCTCTTGACACTTGAGGTAATTTAAAACCCTTATCATCAGCTCTTCCTAATCAAGAGCTCTTAAAATTTGAAATAATTCGTGAAAATGTATTGCAGCTTACTCAAAGCAGAGAATTTATAATGCTGACTTAGGAATGATTTAAATTGAATAGTATAATCCGGTTATAATTTTGGTGCAAAGCGGATAGGGCCTATAAAGTATATATATTCTATATCAGGTCTGTCGGTTTTTACCGAACTAGTCTCTTAGCTTCAATGCTATCCGCTTGAAACTTTGCACACACAATTCTTTCTTTTGGATGCTGTATATAAGTCGGAACGGCTCCGACTACATCCTATAGCTGGCATACATACATATATCTGATTCGTCGAAAATGCCAAAACTCTGGCAGTTTCGGCCAACTATATACGATAGATATCCGATCTTTACTGCAAGGATTCAGCTGTGCCCAAAGATGACTTTTATTTAAAAAATATGTGTGCAAATACATAAATGTTTACCACAAAAAAAATGGTGATAAGAATGTCATAAGATTGGTTTCCTAGAAAACTCTGACCATTCAAAATATATTTTTTATTCGAAATATATTTTTTATTAAAAATATATTTTTTTTATTAAAAATATATTTTTTATTAAAAATATATGTTTGAATATATTTGTGTCAGCAAACAATATGGTGATGTGTCCACAGGATTTTAAAATTTTCTTTATTTTCTAATTAAAATTACAATTACAATTAGAAGTACAATTAGAAGTACAGCTTAAAATTTGTTCATATTTTTTTTTTCGTAAGAAATCAATGAAGTTTGATATGCCTTCCTCCAATGCTTTGGAGATACCAATGACAGCTAGGCCACTTACAACTTTTTCTGTTACGGCTCTTAAAAATGCTTTGCTTAGAACAAACCCCAGTCCAAAACTTCGTTCTTTGTTAGCATTGGCGATTTCATTTTTATACATCCAGTAGGCTCTGTTGGCCTTTTCACGAAATTCTTTTGGGAAAGGAATTAAATGGTGATTGTTCTCGTAGAACGAAATCCATTCGGGGATATGTTGCTGCTTGGTTTCTATAGGCACTGACGGATCCTCGAAGATAGCCTGCAGGCGTCTAAATTCCTTAATGATGTCTTTGTATTCCTCCTCAGAAAGCTGAATCTGAGTGTCGGAGTCTTGTCCATGTCCTGGCATCACAAGGACTGCGATAATAGACAGAGTGCTGATAACAAAAATAAAATAGTAATTATTTATTTTCCCAAGTGTTATAAGAACTATCTTACCTCGACAAAATTAAAAGATTCATCTTATGCTGTTACTCTTGGCGTTGGCTTTAGAATGGTTTCACAAATATCACCGGTGCGCTTTATATGCAAGCCTCCTCTTAGAAATAGAAAATTCCGGGAACCTTGTATAAGTTGATTAAAAATATAGTCTTGATCCCATACTCCTTATCAAGAGTTCTTAAAGATTTCAATTTTTTCGTGGAAGTTTATTTCTAATAGCTGTTGCACTGTGTTTTTGGAATTTTTCTCATTTTTTCATATATTTCTAGGAATATTTTTAAAGCTCAACGCATTTCATTAAAAACCGCTTATGGGCAGTGGGTAGGAAAAAGCGGGGAAATGAATCGGTCGAGGGCTTTCACATTTTCATTAGCTTGCGGTTCTGTCAGCGCGTTTGATCTGGGAAATTAATGCAATACCATGGGCAGAACGGACTGAGCTCTTTATAAATAGGAACAGCTGTCGACGCCCGCGCTTAGTTCAAAGGCATCGACCCCTCGAATGGGGTGGGCGAGGCAGGCAACCCAGGGTCGACTTTTGAGCCTTGGTCACGTAGTGCAGTTGGAAAATATTTTGTAATTGAATTTTAATGCACGGTCCTGGCTGTGGGCAACCTGTCGCATTAGTGTCAGAGCCTGAGCCAGTAGAGTCTCGGGGGCAGGAGCTAATCAGTTGCGGCCCAGACACCTGCAGGACATAATTTCTGAAGCCCAACAAGTGAGCCGGATCCTGGCCGGACTTACGACGCCTCAACATGCGCCAGGCGGTGTCTGGCCATGAAAGTAAATCAAAATGCAGCATGGTGCAAAAATATTCAAGGGGGGCTAGCCGGAAGCTCTGCAGAGAGTACAGGATGCAGACAGTTAGGTGCATACCCAGACAGGATATTTGGTGGGGGGATGTGCGTCCTCATATGGTGGTCTCCCCGCCATCCAGACCAGGCACCCTTGACTTGGCTGACCGTGGAAAATCCCGGCTACCTCCATTTTATTTAATAAAGCATTTTTCAATTCATTTGATTTATGGCGTGAGCGTGAGATACAAGCATATCCTTTCTAAAGGATACCCTTGGTACTTTATTTTAAAGTTTAAACTGAAGCTTTAAATTGAAATAACTCTCGTTTCACATTAGTGATTTCAACAAAACCACATTGAAACTCGGAAATTGAAAATAAATT